AAGAAGGATGAACATGATTGTAGATGAAGACTCCAACTATAAGTGAAGAGTGTTGGAAGTAGAAGTCATCTTACTCCACACTTCTTTTGGATGCAACCTTACTAATACTAAGTGTTGTGGCTTCTAACTTTTCTTTTTTCAATAATATTGAAATCAAAAAATATATATATATTAATGTAAATTTTGAAATTATTTTTTATTTGAGTCTCATAAGATCTTATTAAAAGTTCTATATTAATGGATTGTATTATAAAGCCATAAAGATCCAACAATTTTCGGTATTTTAAAATAAGCTTTTTTGTTACATCACTTTGTTAGATATGAGAATTTGTTGATTTTATTGAATGTATTTTTAATTTTTAACTTTTAATTTTTAATTTTTTTTCCTCAATCTTGTAAGAACATCTTAATTTCTAAACCCTCTACCAAATATAAGAAATTTAAACAATTCAAAACTTTCATTTATAAAGGGTGGCCTAAATATATAAAATTGGCATGATTATTGCCGAATAGATACTCTAAACTGTTCAACATTTTTAATGTCCTAATTCCATTAAATTTGTTTTGATATCAAACTAAAGTGCTGCAATTGCCTACCCACCTTGTCTTGAGTAACTTTTCACATTATTTTATAGTGTTCTATTATATTATTCCATACTTGTTTATGTTGATTTGTGTATCATCCCAAATCACGTCTTCAAAATTAAAAAGTGTTGAGAGTTGGATCCATGTTGTCCATATGCAAACCCTTCAAAGAAGAGTCTAGATTGTATGGGAACTTTGATTGAAACCACAAACACAATAAATAAATGAAAAATAAATAATTCCACATAAACGACAGTGGTAGTTTGGGAAAAAATAAAAGGTAGTCTAGAAGGGGAAAAAGTCAAGAGAATTAGGGTTGACTTATCAAAGGAGAGGTGCTAAATCCGGTTCGGCATGGCATCTTCCTGGCCTTCCAAGGTCCGGGAGGTCAGATGCCGAACCTCAGGCCTGGTTTACATAACCACCTTATACCCTTTAGATTGGGTAGAAAATTCTACTAAATTACAAATAAACAATTAAATAAATATAAACGTGTGGGTTGTGTAGAATTGGAGTCACGAACATTCTTGATAATATTCACAACAAAAAATAACAACCCAACTGATTAAACAATACATTTTTCTCGAGATGAATGATCTTTTAATCATTTCACCAATAAACTTTGAAACAACAATGGCCAACAAACACACACACACATCTACATAAATAATTATTACTATTACGATAAAAGAAGACATAAATGAAAGAAAGTAAAAACAGTAATCCACAAGGCTTGAAAAAAAGTACTTTTCAAGCAGCTTTAAAGTCTCATCTAAGTTTTATATTTTATATTATACTTCCTTATTTATTTTTCCGAAACAACTGTTATTCCAGTGTTCAAAACTGTTGGGTTCAAAGGTCAACTGACAGTTGTACCAAAGTCAAGAGATATTAAAGTTTACAAAATTAGGATTTCCCCAAATTCTTCACACTTTGACCCACCAATGAGCAGCTTCCACGTTGGATGAATCTGAGCTTGAGAACTGGCGCTTTAACATTATTTATAAACTGCTTCTTGCCTACGAGGCATATGGATTCTGTTATCCTCTCGCCCACGTCAGCTTTTAATGGTTTATTGTTCTGGTTTATTGCAATAGAAGTGGTTTTATGGTTGAATAGTTTGTGTTTTTTGTGAGTACATGTGTTTGAATGCAGAAAAGAGTAGAGGTTTTGAGGTGTGTTCCATGTGTTTAGTATGTTTTAACATTTTACAACTTCAAAAATAATCTATGTAAACTGTAATTTCTGTGAACACAAGCATGATGGACAAATTCACAAGTCAGTTAGTAAATAACTATGAATCCAAAATGCATTCTAACTATGATGAAATGATTTTAAAATGAAATAAGAATAAGAAGAAATGTATATGAAGTTAGAGTTCATTGAATTTGTTGTTCTGTTTTTAAACGCCTTCTTAAGTACCATGATGAAAGCTTTTCTACATTGTATTGGACAACTTAAGAAACATATTATAGATTACATTAGGAAAACGTGGTTTTGCAAGTTCTTTGATAGATTTGTAAAGAATTGGAATTTAGGTATGGTTTCAAGACATGTTGTGTGTGTGTGTGTGTGTGTGTGTGTGTGTGAAACTGTGTGAGAATTTTAGTAACAAAATCTTGCAATTCTGGAGGGCAAAACAGTAAACAAATCCATCCTTCATAATTTAATTTCAATAAGTTTAAGTATTCCATCTCAATTTTAGCGAAGAACAACAACATACTTGCATGCAAAAATAGGACAATATATTCCAAATGTTTATTTTTAGTTCTATTATTGATATGCCTTTTTGGCCAACACAGTGCATTTTATTTCTTTCTTTTTCTTCTTTTTTTAATGTAAGACATTAAACCTAGTAAGCATCACATGGAATTGCAGGATCTCTAATTCCTTGTTAATGCACCACAATAATCAAAACATGCTGTAATTTAGAAATTTGAAGCCATTGCAGAGCTGTGTGTGAACAATTTGTGACTGTCATAGGTCATTACAATTGATAAAATGTAAACGCCTTTGGGACTTTTATTATTATTACTGTTATTACATATGAATATATTAAAAAAATTGAGAACATATTTCTTGGTAATACTTGAAATCATTAGATTTTAATGGTGAAAAATGTAATAGTAAAAATAATTAAACAAAAAATGTGATGAGTAAGAAAATGATATTATCCTAAATTAAAATTGTTGTCATTTTATCCAATTTCATTTTATGAATGATAAAAATTACATAAAACATAAAAATATACAAATCAATAGATAAACAATGGTTAATGCACATACTTATTTATTTATTTATTTCTTTATTGTATTGATTACAAAACCTAGAGCTTTGTGTAGACCTAGAACATGTTCCTAAAAAATAAAAAAGAAATAAACTATAAAAATAATTAATTAGTGCACTGATCTCATGCACACAAAACCATATTTGCATCAACCTATCACCAGTTTCGTTAAATAATAATAATAATAATAATCTTAAAAAAACCATGATTTATTTATTTTGTTCCTTTTTCTTTTTAGAATAAAAAATAGGTCACGAAATCTTTGAAAACATGTTTGCAAAAAAAAAATGAGACTTGTGGTTGAAAGCAAACTCAATACACAAAGATATAAATCATAACAATAACTGTACAACAAAACTGAATCATGATTCAATAGGAATAAATGAACCTATATCAATAAAGTCTGGTTTAATAATATTAAGATTATTTATGGTGAATCACAAGCACCCCAGAAAGTGTTGAGTAACATAATTCATCAACAGGAAACAAAATTGCTTTCCCTTTTAAAAACAACCCATATGAAGTACCATGTATGGTAGACAAAACAACTTCAACATCATACTATTCTTGACATAAGCCTTGAAAGTGCATCATGTTTGTTGATTCAAGGACTACTTGTAACCATGAGACCAGAGTCTTTTTTTTTTTTTTTTTTTTTTTTTTGTATAAAAAAAAGTCCTTTTAATGAAGATCCATGAAAGTTTCTATCCTTTTTCTAGCTCCAATAAAAGTGTCAAAGAGGAAGGACCCTAGTTCGGGGAGGGGGAGGAAAAGGAGGAGATAATATCTCATCCCTGAATGCAGTGCACAAGGGATGCTTCATCACAAGACTGTACCCTACTGTGCTACATTGTATGGGGTGGTGGGGCATCACTATTTCCTTCCATTTTTATCACGCACCAATGAAGTTTCCATTTTAGATACAAGATTCCTCTGAGCTGTTTGGACTCATTATAGCCCATTGTTTTCCCTCCTAATTTGTTGTTTTTTTGTTTGTTTTTTCTTTCCATTTCATGCTTATTTGGAGGCATAGTTTCCAGGTTGGATTCCACAGTGCCCACAATATCAAGCTGAGTGCCACATCATCACACCATCTCCACAACCACCACCACTGCTCCTGCCCAGTTTAGCAGAAGCTGGACAAAACTATGCCCACCTGTAAAGCAGGTGGAGTGCAAGCCACCATGATATTTTGTTTTTGCCACTTTTGTCACAAAGTGGGAAATGAGAGCATTGGCAACAAGTTCTGTGCAAAGGCCACACTGGACAATGTGGTCATGAGCTCAACAACAACTGCTCATACCCAGTGGGATCTTTAGCCAGAAGTTAGTTGGACAACAAACACCTCTGCTTTCAAAAATCTTTTGTGGTCATCCAATGACTGATTGTTGTTACTGTGATTGGTGTTGTTAATAAGTTAAAACCTTTTTCCATGGATACATGATTACAGTAAGCATGGTAAATATGGTAGAAAGAATATGGTAGAAGTCAATTCTCTCACATTATTCTTCTTCTTCTTCCACAGTTTCATGATTATCCTAATATATATATATATATATATGAATGAATAAAAATGTGTATATTAATCCAGGGACAAGTGATACTGCACAAAGCCTGATCCGTCTATGAAAGGCTGCACAGCGTCAAATTGATGAGCATAATCCACAGATGATTAGTTTGGAGACACGGAAGGCTGCAGTGGTGCATCCAGGAATGTAGTCCACAAGAAGTGCTGCCCATGAGTGGATTTGTACTGCGAGATTGGAGTCAGAGAACAAACAGTTAGAAGCAAAAAAAACAAAAAACAAAAAAAAAAACAAAAACAAAAAGAAGAACAAAAAAACAAACAAATAAACAAAAAAACCAAAAACAAAATAATGATGAGATCAAGTAATCAAGAACAACGCTGGACCTCGAACAATTAGCTATGATTTGGATTGTTTGGCAACAGATGCTGTGAGTGATGCTAAGCGCAGGGAAGTCAAAACAAAACAAAAAAAATACCACAAAAAAAAAAAGAAAAAAAGAAAAGAAACTGGGCGTCAGAGTTTGCGGAGGAGTTAGTCCACTTCGTCACATCAAGAACAGAAGAGGAGTCGTGAAGAATATTCGAACTGCAGACGACGAAATGCGGATACAAGTGAGATGAATCGTCTTGTGGTGTATACGCTGCGCTGCGAAGGATTCCGGATCCGCTCCTGTTTTTTTTCTCATGTGAATTTGCGAGAGGGAGAGAGTCTCTGCGGTGTCAGTCCCACCCTGGCTGGGGGTCCTTGTGCGGCTTCAAAAGGAATTCCCACCCGCTAGTTTCCCATTCCCGAATCGTATCTTCCAACACTAGTCCCATCGGGCCACTCGTTCAAGCTGCTAGTGTAGGCGCTTGCGCGACGCATGTGGTGAACACACAACCATCGCCCATCGATCGCCATTGCCAACCCCCACCCTCGCCTGATTTCTTGGTTGAGTTGTCAGTTCCGTGAAAATATCTGTAACTTCGTTCGGCTCTGTCGTTGCCTTCTGATCGCAGCTGCTGAACTGTTTCTGTGACTGGATTGTCGGCTGTTGTAGCAGTTTCCTAAGTGTGCGTTTAAATGATTCAGATTCTCGCTGAATTTAGAGCTGGGTAGTGAGAGAGCCACGAGGGTAGAGCGTCAGTGTTTATTTGTTGTAATTCTGTTCTGTGCAACTTTGGTTGCACCGTTTTGTTGGTCGGCTCATCGCCTTGCGTTCCGTGATTTTCCATTTTGTTTTGTAAGCGTGGTAGGGTTGTGTTTTACTTGATCATAATCGATGGCCTGGGAGCAGTTGAAATGGAAATGAGCGCATTCAGTATGAACCAACTTATCTTCCACGCGACTTGAGAGAGTAGAGTACTTCCGATACTCTTCAAACGTTCATCGTAGTTTCCGAAAGTGTATTTCGCTTCTTGGGACCTTCGCATTGCCTCGAGGGTTGATGTAGATTTGCTGCCTTGTGTTGCCTCCCTTCAATGCTCTCCAAAGGCTGAAATGAAGCAGTGGATTGGAGCAACTTGTGTCTGTGTATTGCCTGGACTACATGAGTTCGTAGCCTCCGACACAGCTCTCCCAACTAACATACGCACGCTTCCCACCGGGACTTCCGTTTTGGAATTACAGGCTCTCTGAAGTAGCTGCATTTTACAGGATGAACAAGTTGCAGCAGGATTTGAGAAGTCGGGGAAGAGGCAGTTGCAGTTGATTTCGTCGAGGATAGACGACGTACAATTTGAGATGCAACCGAAGCTGGATCGATAAACGGAGAGATTGACTTGGAAGTGATAAATTTTGTCAATCGACATGCCGGTCGCGCAGCCTCTGCATATGTCGCACCACAAGTCGCTGATGCGCGGAGTGCCAAACCATTACAGAACAATGGCGCTGAAGAACAGCTTGCACCGTGGGCAGAGCGACAATTATCACAGGTTGCGGCCCGAAGCTGTGAAATCCAATCTTCTGAGAGGCGCAAGTGCCGATTTGTCCGAGTTCATTTGGCCCAAGGACCAGTGGCCTTCTTTAGCCCACAACGACTTCCAGTTGGCGCAGGAGCTCCCTACCGTGGACCTCTCAGGCTTGCTCTTTGGCTCAGAGGAGGAGAGAGATAAGACGGCGGACTTGCTTGTGAAGATGTTCTCCGAATGGGGATTTGTGCAGGTAATCAACCATGGAGTGCCGACGGAGGTTACTCAAAAAATGATGATCCAAGCTCGGAATTTCTTTGATTTGCCCTTAGAACAGAAAGAGAAGGGCGTCGCGTCCAGCTCCAGCAAACACGAGGGATTCGGCTATGGTGTTGAGAGTGGATTCTACTATGCTGGAAAGCCTTGGATCGACCGGTTCCAGTGTCGCTGGAGTCCCGTGTGTGAGATACGTGAGCCTGTCGAGAAGGTGTTCAGCCCCTCGGACGCCGAAGAATTTAGGTGAAGTTTCTTACTCGCTGTAATACCACTGCGCTCCGAAATTCAACCCATTTTCCCCCCTCATTGTTCATGTGTTTGCCGTGAATCAATTCAAGCATTCTATTCCCATTATACATGTGTCTGACGTTGCTCGCTTATACGTTTTCGTAGTGCAGCAACAGCATAGAGAGCTACAATAGCCATTTGGATAAGCTCGCAATGCAAATTCTGGAGCTTTGCGCACGAGGGCTTGGACTCCCCCACGACACGTTCACAAAGCCTTTCAACGGCACAGCTGGCGACTGCATCGCCCGCATGAACTACTACCCTCCATGCCCGCTCTCGTCCCTCACTCTTGGACTTGGCGCTCACACAGACCCCAACCTCTTGACCATCCTCAGCCAATGCAAAGTCGGCGGATTGCAAGTCTGCAAAAACGGCACTTGGATCTCCGTTAAACCCAAGCCGGACACGCTTGTCATCAACATCGGCGACACTTTTGAGGTTTGTGAAATTTTGCGCCTAAAGTTTTCTTCATGATGGTGAGGTTGACGTGTTGAGTTTGTTTCGCAATGACTGATGGTGAAGTACTCATGTAGAGCTCGTGTTGCTATGGTGCTGTTGAGTCACCAAAAAGCTTGATAGTTTGACGAGAGATTTCAGTGTCATGAAATTGTAGACACGATGTGCATGCTTCAGTGGTTACTTCTTGGTGAAGAAGATGGTCAGTGTGTACACTGATAGGGACGATTCGTTGATTGGCGTTTTGTCGGCCAAGTTTAGATCCGGCTATCAGAACTGTTAATCCTTTAACGCTTAAGCACGACGAGAGGATGCCCAGTCCCGCGCGTCTAGCTTGTAACGTGTCGATCCATACCCGTCTCCGAATGGACTGGCCCCACCTGCCACCTTGTCCTCGCTGGACAATTCAAACCAGTGCTCGATGGGAATCAGTCTGCTGTTAACCATCACGCCCCTCTTTTCTAGCCACCCCCCTTCCTCATGTTCGCAGAGTTCTGTTCCGTTCTTTTCGCATGCGGTGGGTGTGACAGAGAAGATTTCGTTTGACTGTCTTTTTGCGCTGAACCTATCGCATCGCAGAAAGTTTTGTAGATTCTTTAATTAGTTTTTCATAGTGGAGCGATCTCCATCTTCCTTCCAAATCCAGCAAGCTTACAAAATACAGTTTCTTATATTCATCCATTTCTGTGGTTGAGATGCTGGAGTGTGTAACTGAGGTCAGTGGATATTTTGTGATAGTGGGCATCCTTTGCGGAGGAGATTGAGGATGATAACATTCTTAGCCGCTTTAGAGAATAGCCATGAATAGTCTAGGAAAATGCAATTCTGGCCTCGTATTTTTCCTTTGGGTCCCACTGGTTTCCTTCTCGGGTGTCCTACCATTTCCTCTCCCCGAGAACATCCTGTGCGGCAGGTTTAGTTCTGTCGATATCCTGCGCTCGCAAATATTTATTTATTTTACATTCTAAAACAATGCACTTGCCTTTATAACTTTCCTCTAGACATCCACTTTCAGGTTGAGCGGCCCTCTGAGCATGTTCTGAGAAACTTCTCAGCGACCGCTTAGCAACTTGTTGCGGATCATGGCCTTTAGACTTGCGATCAAGGATGGAAGTGAGAGATCTGTGCAGAATGTTTCCGAGGGTGTACTCTTGGATGGAAATAGAGCTATATATACATTTCCTTCATCTATTATTAGATTGCTTTCAGAATCGAAGTCGTGCAGAGGCGGACCGTTCTGAAGCTATTTTTGTCCACCTGGGTTCTTCTTTGACAAGTGGGTTTGTGGGATTGAGCGAGATTATCACAAACTGTAATGCTGATGGTGATTCTGATCATTCGGTCCCACCGATTGATGCAGGCATGGACAAATGGACGGTTTCAGAGCGTGGAGCACCGGGCTGTGGTGAATGAAACAGAGGCTCGGATGTCTCTGGTGTATTTTTCCTCACCTCCCACCAAGTCGCTGATTCAAATACCGGAGCAGCTCATCACTGCTGAGCACCCATTGAGGTTTAACCCCTCGTTCACATGGGAAGAGTATAAAATGTATCTGTTTAAGAAGCATGTCGAGGGCAACGGAGTGAAAGTCGCCAAAGACTGGCTGCGGAGACCTGCCACTACATCGCAGAACTGAAGCAGGAGCAGCAGCGGATAGACCTTCTAGTCTCGCATTCTTTTGAGATAAATCAACCAGCGCTTGGTGCATAGTTAGCAACATGTAGTATTCCTCGCAGCAACTGGCACAGATTAATTGAGCCAGATTGTTGGCAAGAGCCACTTTTTTTGTGATCTGAGCATGGTAGTCCCTTCATGCACATGTTCCTTTTCCTTCAAAGCTAACTTTGTTAGGATTTTACTCTCCGTTGGATAGGGCTGAGATGCGTAGTTAGCTGAATAGTTCTAATACTGATGTAGACGTAGGTAGTTTCAAAATTGGAAAAGCACCATGAAATCTTCACAATTTGGTGTTTGTACTAAACTACTGTAAATTTGTAGCTGATAAATTTTCGTGAAAACATTTTCACAATGCTCTTCATGCGAAAATTCTTTTATCCCTACACCTCTGATTGACACATTGTATTTGAGTGAACGTTTTTTCCCCTTCCTTTTCAAACAATAAAAGAAAATTCCAAAATATTGAGATGTTAAATGAAAGTTCAGGATTTAACGTAGTCAATCAGTTAATCATAAAAATGCTGAAAACAAAAAAGAAAAAAGAAATCCACATTGGCAGTGAGAAAATTGTCAACACTGTATTCCTTAAACCGAGATAATTTAATGGGCAATATTTCTTGCGAACATGGGTTTAGCACCACACGTTTGGAATCCACTCATGCATACATATGTTTTTAATATATAATTGAAAGAACTCTGAAAAATATGTCACATTGGAAATCTCTCTTGATACATATATACATATACAATTTATCAGGATTCATAGTCTCGACAATTTTATCACATTGTTTGATAACATAGTATAATTTTTATTGTTCAATGGGACGACAAGACAAATAGTATGATACCTCTTGAGCACATCCTTCTATATTAAGAAAATACCCAAAATAATACCTATCAACTCGACATTGAATCATGGTATCTTTTCTCAAACTGTGCAAGTACTGGTTCAGTCGGAGATACTAGATAGTGCTTCATTATTGAGACGCAAAATCCGTCAACAATGGAGTTGTTCATGAACTCCGATTTTACCCTATCTCTCTCGGCAACACAGACGTGGACTACTCTCTGCGGTTCACATCCACGATAGTGTTGCTGAAACGCTTCAAAAGCTTTTTAAGTTTTGAAAAAAAAAAAAAAAAAAAAAAAAACTCTCCCTTATTTTCCGGAAGAGATGAACCTCTCCAACTTGCCTACAGTCCCGTTCACAGCATTGAATGTAACCAATATTCCACTCTGAATGGACTTAATGGCCACCATCGTGGAACCAATACATCTCCAGATGATGGGAGTGCACCAACTTGTCGCTCCCACTTGCACTGGGGCTTCGGTGATACATTATTATATAGTACATGATGGGTGCGATACCCCACTCAGAAGGACCAATGCCCTTACTTATAGGGCGGTCCATCTGTGAAGCCAATCCATACATTACACAACCTTGCTTCTTCGCACCAGTGTGAGCTTATTTGGCGGCACGCGGTGTCTTGCGTGCGTTGTATTGTGAACACGCTGGCGTGGTGATTGACATGGTTGTCCACTGAATGAACCAAGTGGAGCTCCGGATATAAGTGGGACTTTGTTTGTCTGAAACGGCTCTGAATATCTGGATGAGTGAGAGATGTCGTCGAATGCGGCGACGGCGATCTCTACAAATCGGTTGTGCGGGACCCGAATTCTAGTGATGTGTGGGACACAGTTTGTGCAAGATCAGGTCCAATTGCAATGTTTCTCCGATTGGTTTCCACTCTGATTGCCTGTGTACTAAAAATTTCCACACCTGGGTCCTCCGTGTTCCTCTCTTACTAACACCAGGTAATCACAGTGGTGCACAGATTCAGATGGAGAGACCTCCGACAGACTGTGGTGTCTCATTTTGCACAACTGGGTTCTGATGCTATACAAAAAGAGCATATTTTTAATGTATAATCTGGTCACAACCCACTTGTGGAATGTAGTGGCAAATCCTAGGAATGGAACTACTAGCCAATGGTGGAATGCAAGTCAGGCTTGGAATACCTCAAGAGTTGAGTACTACACAACCTAACAGATGATCATTCTAATGAAATGCATTGGAGCAACTGGATAATTACACTGTGTTGCTTAAACCACCAAGAACTTCATCGAAGTTCTTGATTCACCAGCTCAATGTTGGTTCAATGTTGTATTGGCATAGATAATGAGCACAAGAATAAAATGATTAGGAAATAGTTGGTATGGGGCTTAAATACCTTACAAAGTATTAAGGACAAATTATTTTTCATTAATTTGTCCTTAAAAAATTATAGTTAGTTTGGATTTTTTTTTTTTTATTTTCCCTATAAAACTTCAATTTAATTCATTAAGTAATCTTATATTGCATCAATTTTTACTTCTATAGTTTGCAAATTAAAAAAATCTATACTTTTTATACATTAGTTATATCTATTTTTGAATATATATGAATTTATATATCTATTTTATTAATAAAATAAAATAAAATAATTTATATTAAAATTTAAAAGTATATTTTTTCTTGAATCAAGTTTATTCTAATATCCATTACATACAATATTTTAAATTAATACAAAGAATCTTAAATCTTATGTTAGATACATGTAAAATCTATGCATATACACAAAATAATAATAAACGTAAATAAAAAATAAATATAAAAAATACTCTTAAAATTTTTTTACTTAGTTTATGTGATAAAATACTTTTATGATAATTTTTCAAAGTTATTAGTATATATATATATATATATATATATATATATATGTGCATGCATATATAGGTTTTGAATTATACAATTACAATTTTTTATGACTTTCAAATATCATAGATTAAAAAAAAATACTGAAAAAAATAAAATAAAATAAAATATTTTTTAAAACTAAAAGAAAAAATGTATTCTTTCATAAAATTGAATACGACCAACTATTCTAATTTTGTAAAATAGATGATAGTTTTATATTTAGTGACTCTTTATAATTACTAATTAACTCAAAAGTTTAATTTATTATATTATTTATTATTATTATATTTTATAAGCTTTTCTTTAATTCTTTTATATAACATTAAAACTTCTATGTTCCTTATTAAATAAAAAGAACTAAAAAATTATAATTAATTAATAATAAAAAATATATTTTTTTTAAAAAACAAATTTGTTAATTTTCTCACCTAAAAAAATTGCATACGTAATATCAAATATAGTACTAGAAGGATAAATTTGATAATTACTATTAAGGTATATTTACTACTAATGTGTAGTAGCTACAATAATAGCAAATCTAATGGTATATTACTTAGAAAAATAAATAAGTATAAATGTATATATATACCTTTATAATTAAGTATAATTTTTAAATATTTAATTTATTATATTAAATAATAATGTAAAAAATATTTTATATTATATTTTACAAGTTTTCTTTAATTTATTTGAAACAATTTTATACTTCATACCATAGTGGGCTTCTAAATGAAAATATTCTACAAACTCTGAGATATAACTTTGAAATTCATATTCATTTTAAAGTTCTGTTGGAATTAATTTAAAAAAATCTTTAAATTATTTTATTATATATTTTTATATACAAATCAAAATTTTATTTTGATAAAAAAATAAAAAAAATAATTATATCTTTATCTTAATTTTAAGAATGGATTTTTAGAACATGTCTATTTTTTTAAAAAAATATATTAAAATTATTTATTTTTTAGTATTTATTTAAATATTTTATATAAAAAATTTATTAGTTGATAATCTCATATAAATATTTTTTTAAAATCAAATTTATTTCATCAATTCATATTCATATATAATACATAATTATAATATATATAAGCTTTTTTATTTTTATTATAGTTATCAAAATAATAAAGAACATTTTAGAATTTAGTTTTTTAAGAATATATGTATATATCTTTCTTAATATAATTCCAATATTTTAATATTGAAGCTTTTATATGATATATAACTTAATTATAATTTAAGGTCATTGATTTTTTATTCTAATAATATAAAAATATTTGAATAATTGTAATGATGTTGTAAAGACTTATAGAATAAATTCTAATTTATTAATATTATATTTATTATTATATTAACTAAAGCTTTAATAAGAAGAATATATATAAAACTTAATTTTTACTAAATCAATCCATTCATGAAGAAAAGTATGGTAATCATTATAAATGTGATTGATTTTCATTGGTTGCAAATTTATACTAAAAAAATAAAATTAGAGATTATTTTTGTTTTTTTATGATGATTAGGATGAGTAGGTTGATTAAATAAAAAAAAAAAATTTAATCTAATTCTTGTTTAATAAAAAAAAAATAAGAACTCAAAAATGATATTGCATGAATATCATATTGACATAAATTTAAATATTTATAAACAAATAATAATGAGATGATAGATTTTAATAAAACATTAAGAAAGACATATACAATATTCATCTATACATCTAATTTAATAATTCCAATGTTTTAACATTGAAACTCTTATTCATTGCATTAAATTATTAAATTAGATGTATAGATCATATAACTTATATATATATATATATATATATATATATATATATTTATCAAAAAAAAATTTACTACAAGTTCTATTAAAGTAACAATTTAAAAGATCAAAATTAAATATAAAAAACTTACTTATAGATTTAAAAATTATTTTTTTAATAAACCACTAATTATAAACTCCAACAATATATAAACTACATAGAGATCAACAATGATAAAGATTGTGGAGTAAAGAATAATATGTTATTTGTGAGAGACAAATAGATAATAATGTACATTGAAATAATTGATTTTGATTGGAACATTATTTTATTATAAATATGTTGGAAACTCAAGTATTAACTTTAATGCTAATAAAGAGGTAGAGAGATTGTAAAGCTTTATCATAAGTATAATTTGTGTTAGTATTTGAATTGTTTTGAATGGTAGTTTTTATTTACATACAATAATGTTTTAGCTGAGGCATCTTTGTAATACTTAGTAGTTAGTCAATCTTGTTTTATACAAAGTTTAGAATTTTTTTAACTAAATCAATTTCAAAGACTTAAGTTTTATTAATTGGCTAATTTTAGTCATATATCAACAAGTTTTTATCTAAACAAAGTTAAGGTCTTAAAAATAAAGGATAAAGTGATATTTAAAGCAAACTTTGAATTATACAATTATTTACTCAACAACATATATATAAAAAACTATTAATTAGATTGATATGATTAAGATCCTTGGTACATAAGGCACTAATAATATAAAGAATAATCTTCAGTCAATTAAATCAATTTGAAGTGAACATTTTCTTTATGGTTTAGTAGGAGGTCATATTAAGCTCTTGGTTTAATCAATTATTAAGA